ATATATATAAAACCACTGTATTATCATCCTGAAGTAATAATCATTAAAATCGCTTAAATTCTCAAAGGCATTAAAAGTGATAGATAGTTCTGACCAGCGTAAAATTTCATATCTAGAGAACTGCTTATGCTTACAGCAATAGACTAAAATGGAGATAAATTTCCATCTTAAAGGCACTGACGGCATCTTGATTGGTTACAATTTTATATAACCTTCCAAAGACCTCACTGAGTATTTCCCCTCAGCATAGAAAGCTTGGTATCCTTATTGCACAAATTTGAACGAGGATCACCATGACAGCTGTTATGCAAAAACACCTTGTGCTGAGCTCTGAGAATTGCGTGAGATCGCTCACTGCACTTTCAGGTTGGAAGGTGCAAAAGTGGAACTCAACTAACACAGCCACAACTTTTCCCTGCCCTTTTGAAGCACAGAGTGTAATCAGTAAGGCACAATTCCTTCCCATGCTGAGAACCCAAGGGCACTGGCAGCACGGTGGTTTTAATGTGGGCTAAATGCCAAACAGAAAAATTAACATTCACAATCTACACAATGCCCAGCACAGATTTTCAGAGCAGAAACTCACAGTGCAGCCACTGAACAAGTCCTCACGTGTCCTGGAGAATCCTCTCCACTGATTCTCAAGGCACTGTAAACAAAGCCTTGAACGTGGGTGCCGAGCCTTTAAATACTTTTGGATGGGCTCATCTGGAAAATACCAAAGCTTTTCTGTGTCTGAGCATCACCACTGCCAAGCACTGTGGTGAAGAATGGAGAAGACAAACCCCAGAGAGATGTGCTGGGCCAACTGCTACTTTCCACAGGTTTTACTACCAGTTAAGATGTAGAGAGATGGTTATTTTGCAAACAGAAGAAATTTGCCACAGTTGCCTCTAACAGCACTTCTGCCAGAGTTCCCTCCTGAACAATCCCTAATCCACTTCAGTCAAAATCAGCCACCTTAATGGAAGCAATTTCAATACCTGATTTAAATAAAGTCAGCTGGTTTCATCAGAAGCAGCCTGGGAAACAAGCAAACTGCCCTGCTGACAGAGCACGGGAGGGGTAAGAGACATCCAGCCACACTCACACAGCTCCCGCAGAACCAGACATTCAATCCAGCTCCAACGGCATTCTCTAGGATCAGTCTAATTAAAAGACAGACCCTGACACTAAAAGCCAGCACCTGACACCAGAAGCATCAAAGGGGGCATGTCAAGACTGCAGGAGACCAGTCTGCTCAGCCACTGCAGCAAGAAAACTCCCCCACCTAGCCTGGGAGGGCAGAGGAGCTAGGATTGACACATGCTGCTCCTCTATCTTAGGCAGCTGATAAAGCAGGTGAGAAAATGACCTCACAGAAGCAGAGAACAGCATACACACACCAGCAAATCTGCTTATCCACTATTTTAAAGCAGAACAACAAGAACACCTTATGAGGTGCTAGGATTAAGAAAAGAACACCTTATGACAGTACCCCCATGCATGTTAGCCAACAACTGGTTTGGAGGCAACAATTTAGCAACATGTTTTAATTTAAACCTATAACCATTATGTGACTTGCTTATAGTATTTAATTACTACATGACAGACTATTGCCAGGCAAACTGCCAAGGCAGAGGGATGACTTTACAGATCCCTTTCACTTCCAGTATCTCCAGTTCAGGTATGGACACCAGTAACCTAGCACTTAGGTGAAGAAAGGTCTATAGAAAGAGCAACCAAAACCCAGACCTCTATTCACATATTTTCAAGCTGAGAGAAACTACAGGAAAAATTAACTCAAGATAAAAGTCCTGTCATGGTGCTGCATTGCTTAAGAAGTATCAGCAGCACACTGTTGCTCTTATGCTATATTTACAGCTATTAATTATAGATCAAGATTTGGAGACTACAGACATTTTAATATGAAAACAAATTCAGTAGAATCATAGGCAGTAAAAAAAAGTAGAAAAAATAAATCCCTCAGAATGTTAATCACAGACATGGCCATGATCCTCAAAGTAACACACTGCAAATCGTAGCAGAAATATTTCCCATTATTGCAAGTTTTGTATGCTTGTAAACAAAACATCTCTAATCTACCCAGTTATCAGAGACAGCTAGAGCAAGCTCTGTACAGCTAGACTGAGATTAGGTTTTAGTGCAAATGGACACTAATAAATACAAGAAAAAAAAAAGCCAGTCCAAAGATCATTTCTTCTTCACAACACAGGAAATTCTATGAAGGAAGGTATCTCTTTTATGCATAGCTCTGAAACCAAGCTACGGCTTTAACCTGATGCTTCAAACCACCTGTCAAAATTTTATACCCTCCAAGCAAAGTGTAGTGTTAGGCTTAAGTCTCAGGCTGCAGAGAGAGAACATCACAAACCCACATTCAACAGAAAGTGGCAACAATGGAAAAACTCCTTTGACCTGCTATTACAGTCCTTTGTCTTACAATGGCTTCTTCATCTTTTCCTAAACACACCTCACTCAGCCAATTTTTGGAGGGCTTAGTCTCAATGCTGCCACAACAGGTTACAGGACTGTGAACATGTCAGACTAGGGTATTGATGAAGTAGAGTTAATGCCTGGAAGACACAACAAATATGACAAGCATCCAAACAAGAATTGTTTTTGCATAATCAGCTTTCTCTCATTTGCTTTGGTATTTTGGAACATCTTCTGGCTTACAGCGATTTGCTCTGTTTCTGAAGGCTCTTGTCATAAGAGAGGTGTAGCAGTCTTGCTTCTACCTCAGACATCTGAAAAATGCTTATCCAGCACTTCTTTTACTGCCATCAGCATCTGGTCTACATCTGTCACTTGTCTGATATATGCAGCATCAGTAGTGTTTCTTGCAGTCCTGCAGATGGTTCCTTTCAAAACAAGGCCACAAGTGCCTATTTACCTGTTTACCAATTGACCTAGTCAGTAGCAAGAAGTCTCAAGCTACTGCCATATTTATAAACACAGAAAATGGTGAGGTTCATAACCATTCTGGCAAAACTTTGCATTATCTGTGCATAAACAGCTGCATATGATATCAATTTTGCAAGCAATATTCACCAGGATAGTACCAACATGCTGTAAGGCTTTTCCCACTGATATTCTGATTACTGCTTTTGGGGCTACTTCATGAAAATGTTTATCTTACTCCTCTCACAGCTGGCTTTTCAAGTTTCTTCCTGCAGCTTTTACAACTTTTGAAACCATCTGTAAGAAGATTCTGGCATACAAGGCCAGTCATTGACAATCACAGGGTGCAAAACTGTCTCCTTAATATACCATTACATTACCCTCCCCACAGAATCCCTACACCTGCTATTCCATTAAACTGATCTCCACAGACAGAACTGAGACACAGGAATAGTAAAACCAAAACAAAACCCCTTACATAAGGATAAGCATTTCTGGAAGGCTCCAATTAGGAATCACTTTCACATTCAGTTTGACCAGGAAGTACAAAAGTGAATTCTGCTGTACTAATTTATAACTTGCAGCAGAGGCATTTGGTCCATTTATACATGAAATATCTTTAGGCTATAGCTCAGAATTTATGCCTCACACATGAACCACTGTTAGTCACCTCTGTCAAAATCAAATCAGCACAATGATGTCCTTAAGTTATTCTATTTAGACCCAAGGTTTTTAGTGCATGGTTTTAGTGCATGTCACCCAGTCAGGTGGCAGGACCAGTTATTAAGTTACCTTATAACATGATGCTCAAGGTGCCATTACTTGACCTAAGGATCTGTACAAATTTGTGGTGAGCAATGCATACAAAATTCATTAGAATGGAGAGACAGAAGTTGTTACCTACAGTGCACTTACAGTTCATTTTAGTTTGCTAAAAAAAAAAGCAAGAATTGGAGGAAGTTAGCCTTGTTTATTCAATGGCTGATTTTCTGTGGCACTTGGAGTGGCAGCAGGATTTTCAGAGCGTCCATCAGCGTTTTGTTTTTGCCTGTGAAAACACTCCATAAAAAATTCAACCAGAAATGCAACACTTGCGAGAAATCCAAATGCCTGTGAAAGTGAAAGAAATACGTGATTTTAAAATGCATAAACAGTAAGAGTATCTTAACATTGTTTGCGAGATTTTCTGGACTATTTACACACATTCATAATGCTTATATCATTGAGATTACAGCCCTCTGTAAACTGATCATTCCACTTAAATTCAAAACAGATCAGAAATCATAATCTTAGCCCATTTAATGCAGAAGTTTTTATGGTTTTCATTCCTTTAATCAAGTGTGAACCTTATAGCCCTTAAAAGTATGTTAATTTTATTGCAAAAATCAGTTACTAGAGCAGCATGGCATTGGTAATATAGCAGAGTATTTACTCCAGAGACAGCTGCTGATTAAAGGGAGTAAATTAAGAAGAGTAACACACGGAAAGTGAAGGGAGACGAGATCTGCAGAGCCTAAGCATGTCCTTACTGGGCCAGCAAGGGAGAATGAAATGACATTTGGTGAATGACATTCTGTTACTAGTCATAACAAGATAGTGGTAAGGAGAAGGTTGTTCTTAGCAGCTTCTTTCAAACAAGGAAAGAAACACATGCATGATTCTAACTTCTACCCAAATTTTACGCAACTGGTTTGCCCCAAAACAATTTGACACTGGTGAGTCTTAAATCACAGTAGTTTTTATTTTTCCTGCATCAGAAAAAACGCAAACCTGAAATACTTTATACTCAAACTATTAGGTCTGAAAATACCAACATCACAGAAGATGATTGTACAGAAGTGTGTATCTCGAACAGCAGGCCAACACTGGGGAGCTCTGAGAGCACCCAGAGCTTTCCAGCCACCCTGAGGAATGCCTGCACTTTGGATTTCCTATGGTAAGTTTCTGGAAGGTCTGAAACAGCTACTTCCTTCTGAAACATCACAAGGCACTGGGTTCTATTCCCTGCCCAGTTTCTTCCCTGCAAATTGAGTGAAGTTTAGAGGGCAAAGACATTAACATCACAGACAAACACAGAGTAATTCCTGCCATTTTAAGACTTACATATGCAGCCTTTTCAGCACCCAAGTCAGAGCTGGTCGCAGCAAGCACTATTGATGCCAACAGAAAACAGGCACCTATGCCTAGCGCGGCATAAAAATTCTGCAAATACAGCAAAAATTAATGTTATTGTAGGTAAGTTACCTCAAAAGAACAAACATCAACAGCAGCTGAGTTAACTTGGCAATGAATTTATGATTTGATACTCTGATGCTAATGGAAGCTTCAGAAAATATATTTTCCAACTACATTCCAAAAGACATTCAACATTATCACCTATTTAAGAGAGTCTGCCTTACGTAGTCCCCCATTTTTGTCTTTTTAAAGTACTCAATTCATTTCATCTCACTTTTTTCTATCAAATTCAAGCTCAGGATAACCATGCTAGAATTGTTCCCTATGTAAAACATTTGAGAAATTAGAAACCTGTAAGTAAATGTGCTCATTCAAATCTTTTACTACACTCCCTTATCTGTACCTTCACATAAAAATACTTCCTGTTTGCTCTGAAGGCAAATAGGAAGGGACAAATAGGAAGGGACTTACAAGACAGTTTATATTCCTACCGACTTTACGGAGCAACTTTCTCCCACTGCTGGATCTTCTGAAATATAAAGCCTCAAACTGTAATAAGCATGATTACTACCAAACAGGAGGTAGGCTACACCCAGTAGGAAAATAGTTAGGGTAAACTGATCAATTACAAGCATCATGCTGGCAGTAAACTGTGTTTTGCATTCATACATATATACCACAGCTATGCAGTAGTACTAGTCTGTGTGAAAGTCTTTTTCACACAAGTCCTAAAATCCTGCAGGTAGGCAACATGAGAGTTTTGAAAAAATTGTCAGTATAAAAGAGACTCTCAAAATTTATTCATTTTTTAACTACAATCTACTTTAATCTACCCTTTAAATGGAGAAGAAAAGGAGATTTATCCTGCATAGCCTTTTTACTCCACAGTAGGCTTTATGCACCTACAAGAAACTGTATTTTTTAAAAAAAATAAATTTTCTTACCAGTCTCTGTACTTTATCTTCCCCCAGTGTTTCATATACATCAGTGCAATACACACAGAGGATTAGGACGCTCAAAAGAAAGGCAGTGAAGCTTGTGAATTCAAAGAAGTAAAGTCCACCACACTTGATGCAGTTGTCCACAATTTCTTCACAAATAACAGCTATAAGAGACAGAATCTGCAAACAAATAACATGCTCGAGTTGGATCAAGTCTCCAATATCTTCAGCAAACAGGCATCTCTTAATGAGCATTAATAAAGATAGCTGTGAGGAAAATCCCTGATGTACAAAAAGTCCAGGAAAATTCTGCACTATTTTCTTACAGACAGAAATAAGTACATGATGACACTGTTTACACTTGCTGTTAAAGGCGATCGATAAACTACACTCCGGTAAGCTGAGCACACTGTCAAATACAAGACTACACAGTCAAGATTCCTGCTTTGTGGCTTTGTGCAACTGCCAGTTGGAAGCAGACGAGGCAGGCAGTGTGGAGAGCACACAGCCTGCTCAGAATGAGCAAAAATGCTACTCCTTACTACTCACGGCTGCTCTTCATTTTAAACACATTTGGGTTCAGGGCAGAGGGGGAAACTGGACAGCACTGACACACTCAGCTACCTCAAAAAATGTTTATGGCTGAAATTACCTTGTTGGATAATACTTTAGAGAAAATACATGTAGCCAATAACTCATGTGCTTATGAGCCAACAGCTCAACTGTTCTTGAAGGAACCAGAATTTTAAACTATGTTTAAGCTATGTTGGACAGTGTTTAACCTGTGCAGAAGCTTATCTTCACCTCTCTGCCACAGGATGCTTTGAGAAAAGAACACAAGTTAATTCCTGTACAGTCACGGTATCTCTGCCAATGGATTTTCTACTATTTAATTGTACAAGAAATAATATTGTTTTATTTTTCAGGATCTGAAGGGGCTACAGGGAGGCTAGAGAGGGACTCTTTGTTAGGAATCGCAGTGACAGGACAAGGGGTAACAGATTAAAAATTAAGGGGGGGAAGTTTAGGTTAGATATTAGAAAAACGTTTTCTACTCTGAGGGTGGTGAGACACTGGCACAGGTTGCCCAGGGAGGCAGTGGATGCCCCAACCCTGGCAGTGCTCAAAGCCAGGCTGGATGAGGCCTTGAGCAACCTGCTCTGGTGGGAGGAATCCCTGCCCATGACAGGGGAGTTGGGACTGAGAGATCTGTGAGGTCCATTCCTACCTCCAAAACTCCATGATTTTATGATTCTTTAACTGTTCTCTGATTTTGGCCACTTCTTGCTAGTTTCCTTCATCATATAAAGTGGACACAGCTTTATAAATCCCTTGTAGTAAGGAGTTCACTAAATTAAACCAAAATCATTAGTAGGAATCAAACTTGGCCATAAAATTGAGACTGATATAAGGATGATGATCATATTTTTAGTAAGAGTATATGGGCAATGAGGCTGACAGCTCTTCTTTAAAAACCCCAATTAAATTCTAAAATTGAGAATTGTTCCTGGAAAATAACCACCAGTCTTTGATTTCAGTTTTCTCACAGTAAAACCAAGAACAACAGTTTAGATGTAGGAACTGTGAATTCCCCCTGCTACACCAGACCTCAGAAGGGCACTTCAAAGAATCATGTTTTGAAAACGCTACAAT